TGCCAGCACAGAAACTGACAGATGGTAAGACCAGTTTCCAACCTGCTTAAGTACTGGTTTAACATGGTTTAGATTATTTTATTAGCATTGTCTATTTTTACTATATATCTAAGTAGTACACCAGTACCATTACAGTTTTGTTATAGTTCTTCTATTCTTGTAATGAGATCTATTTATATGATTTATATATAGATTTATTGTTATAGTTTGAGATTTTATCAATAAACTATTTTTAGAGATGATTTCACTGAAGATTTCTCTAAAAAATGTGTCAAGTTCTATTTATTTTAACGAAATGCCTACAAACACATAGATGCCTGGGGACAATCATAATAGAACAACTCAAAAGCCCAATAAAACATCACTTTGATAGATGTAACCCACAGACATCAACAAATGAACCAATTAATTGAGTTAAATATGTTTTACATATTGCAATCAGAAAAAACAAATACTTAAATATGAAAATTATCTCATGAGAAGGTCAGAAATCCTGAGGTAATTAATTTTCCAAAAGACTTCATCAATCACATTTGGAAATAGAAACAAAGATAAGGAAATATACAAAAGGAAAGGTTTCTAGCAGTAAATCTGTTTATAAAGACTCCTTTGGTTTTATGTTGATAAACATTATTTTTAACACAGTTTACTCTCCTTAAAAAATAGATGGGCATAAATTCAGAGAACATCAGTGTCAGTTCTCGCCTCCTTCCATCACCTCAACTTTTCTCAGTTCAATTTTATCTAAATTGGATAGTCCACCTGGAAATCCAAGGATTACCTCAGTTGCTGTGTAACTGATGCCTCTTCACAGCCTCTGCTCTCCATCCTCTCAGGCCATTAAATGGGCTTAGAATTAGATTGCTTTGTAAACCTGGGACATGGAAGCCTAGGGACAAGGACAGTGGCATACATTCACCTTAATAGTCTAGCTACCATGTCTGCCCCATGGGACACATCCTTGGTGTCTGTGTGGTTCCCAGATCAAAGACAGCTCATGCAGTGTGTATTTTGACCCAGTCATCTGGGCTTAGCTTCTGTCAAGGATTCCTCTCTGATATGCTGGGCAGTTGACCTGCCTGGCCTTTTAGTTTCCTCCACAGAGCAAGAGCATGAATAGATCCTGCTGTTCTGCCACCAGTCAGAATGTCTGCTGCAAAAAGACAATTTACCAAGTATAGCACCCACTGCCAGATTTCTGAAAAATAATTCTATCTAAATTCTAGTCTACCGTGCCCTGTCTTCCTGGCGGTTTGCCCCAATTAATGCCATATTAAGACTCATTTTTTCCTGTGCTCTCTGGACCCTGCCTGAACTGCAGCTGAGTCAATCCACCTGTCTCCGATCCCACACTTTCTCATCAGCCCTTGCTCTTGAACCAAGTGCAAATTTCAGCCTCCATCTCCATTAAAGGCTCCTGTTGCTCTAGGGTACCGTAATGCCACTTGCATTTCACAAAAAAATAATTCAGCTTTTAGTAATATGAAAAATACACAGAATGTTAACATCAAATTTAATTTCTTTTTTTTTTTTTTTTTTTGCATTTCTTTTATACTACTAGGCTAAAGCAAAGGGAAGAAGTGGCCTTCATCAAACTTTCTCCATAAATGACTGCATAATCATGACAGGGTATGAAGTAAATCAAAGAATAATAAAATAGCTAGGACAGAAAAAAAGAAATGCAACTTTTAAATCTATTTTCTGATATCTCATCTACAAGCATTGTTTGCAAATGTTTTAAAGTTAATTCACTTTCTAAAACATCTTATGAATTTTATTATAGTAATTGGGTTGGAAAGAAAAATTACCTCCCTTACCTTCCCTAGGCACTAATTTTACTTTTTAGGTACCACTACTGAAGAATTTCTAATTTGGTTCATCACTTCGGTGGGAATTCAGTGCACATAAGGGGCACATATGTAATTGGCAACCTAATTTTTCTGCTTTCATCAAATGGTGCAATGCCAAATCTTCATTGAACTTGCCAGTTAAATACACTTGGGAACCAAACAGCAGCAAGCATAAGAGATGAAAATGAACACATTGGAAAGAGTCATTAACTTTCTGTTTTCCTATCACAACAAAAATTGTATCATTGAAAGAGTAGCAAAGTGGGAAATTCTACTTGAAACATTAAACAACCTTAAAAGAGAATAATTCATTCACTTAACTTCCAAAATGTTTATTATAATTTATAAATGGGATTTCTAGTACAGATTTTTTTCAACAAGAAATACAAAATAGTTAAAATGAATCAACTTTTCAGAAGTGTGTTTTAGGTTATATATTTTCTTATGTCTTTCTGGTCTAGTGTATATGAATTTTAGATTTTATTTGGCAAAAAAAAAATTTTAGAAAATTAAGCAAGAAATGTTGGCTTTATTTAATACCTTAACGAATAAAGGCAATTGACAGATTGTCATGGTTCTAATTATGAATGCAATTGAAAGTGTGAAAATTATAATCAGTTGTGGTTACCAAAAATGCCCTTGAAATATCTGGTCTAATGTGTAATTCTGAAGTATGCAATACAGAGTCATTATTAAATTACCATTATTTTAAAATTAAAAAAAATTTTTATTGAGGTAACATCAGTTTATAACATCATATAAGTTTCAGATGTAGATCATTATATTTTGATTTCTGAGTAGACTACATGACAATCACCACCCAAAGACTAATTACCATCTGTCACTATGCACACGTAATGTACACATGTGCCCACGCGATACACAACAATAAATTATCATTATTGATGACAATTAATTAAATAGAAAGTTGGACAAAAACTTGCCCAATATGATGGAGCATTGTCCTTAAAGGGGGTCAAATTTTTAAAAAATGTCTATTTACAGGTCTTAAATAAACCCCATCTTTATTCGCTAAGTACAAATGTTCAGATCAGGAATCTCTCTTCCATAAAACTTCCTTTTGCAGCGATGCAAGATTCCTTTAGCAAGGACTGTGGAAAAAAGTTTCCTAAATTTTTCATCTAGAAGTCCAAGTAGTTAGCACTTTTAAAATCCCTGCCTAACCCTAAAAACCAAACATTTTGTAAACCGTTCTTGCATTGGAAAAAGGAGGAGGGAGGCAGAAGGAAAATGCCAAAGGGTTGTGGATCCGCTTTTTTCATAATTATCAAAAGCTCTAAAGAAACCAGTGAGACTTTCAACTAAGCCAGGAGTTGTGAAGGGGAGGTGGTATGGACAGTAGGAGTAAGGCAGACTTGGGTTGACTTCTAGCTGCATCACTTAATCTGTATGTGATCTAAGGTGAACTACCTACCTCCCCAAACCCAGCTTTCCTGATCTGTAAAACTGAAGAAATGATAATAGCTTTTTCACAGTACATGCGCACATTAAATCCCAACATACTTTGTTACACATCCATTTTCCAGTGCTTAATTAAAGAAGCTAAAATGATATATTTGTCCACTGGTCCCAGCTTCACTCCCCTTTCTTGATTATATGCTTAAGCCACTTTTAGTGGACTTTAATGGACTCTAAACTTTGTATGAGACACGAAAGAATCAGGCAAAAGGAAAATCAATGTGAAAAAGGGAAAAGAGATGGAGAATATATAATGGGCTTTCATATGACAAAAATCTGAGGATACAAGACTGGTCATGACCTCCTAACAAGGGGAGAAGAAATAACAACTGAGTTGTCAACCTTGCTACCACTTCCCCAGCCTTCTAAATGTTAACTTCCTTTTACCACATTTATGAAAAAAAATTGTCCCCCAAAGCAGGGTTGTCTTCATACGAAAATACACATCAACCACTGATACTCATTCAAAAAGTACACCTTGCTTTTACACCCAATATATTAACATCTCAGAAGTCAGATTATGACCAGTTAGATTATTTAGAACACACACACACACACACACTCCACACAGTTAAATGCATTCCATCTGCTGTATTGCCTGCTAAAGATATAAATATATAGGAGTGGAGATAAAAGGGGGATGGATGGGAAGGAGTCCAGGACCCAGGGCAAACCTGAAAGGAAATGAGGCAGGGCAATGAGAGAGAGGATCAAAGGAAAATAAATTAGGAAAGCACCAGCACCATGCATCAGAAATCTTCTCCATCTCTAAACTGGCAAATATTCTCCAGGGGGCCATCAGTCAAATGATGTCAAAATGGTAGCTGGTTCTGTTTGTAAATCTGTGTTGTCAAGGACCTTGTGTGTAGGAACACAAGTTCCACTCCAGGTCATCGTCCCAACGCTTCTATTATCCTACAGAAGGACTGATGCCATAAATGGTTCCTGGGAGGTGTGAGCTGCTTCTGGAAAGAAGCCAGGTTTCCTTCTTTGCTGCCGTTGAGGGAACAGACATGTCAGGATATGAATACGTTGGGTGAGAAGGAAAAGGGGAGAAAGAACCTCACAATTCCCTCCGTGAGAGGTGGAAGAGGTTTGGAGAGAAAAAGATACAGAGAAAAATCTGTGGTTTGGAGAGAAAAGATACAGGGCATTTTTCAGCATCCCCGCGGTCCCTTCGCAGCGCTTCAGACCCCCGCTCTTGCCCTGTCTTGACCTGCCAATGCACTTGGCCTCGACGTACGCACAAGGAAGGACTGAGAAGAAAGCCAAGTCAGCACGGTTGGGCACGACTCCCCTGAAACGAAAACTCAGCAGCGGGCCAGCACTGGTTGTGCGCGCGTTCCCGTGCGAGGCTGCGTGCGTGGTGCCCGGCGGACGCAGTGGGCCCGGCACCGCCCTCGGCGGCCCGCCCCCCCCCCCCCCCACACACAGAAGATTTTGTCACTATCCAATAGGGAAATCATGCAGAAGCTGTCAGTCATACAGTTGGAGAGATTACACTATCAAAGTGATACACCTGTGACAGATAACCCAAAACCAAACTCAAAGGAGACCAATTAACAGATAGGCTGGTTTGTACTCTGACTACGGTGGAAACCATCCCATTCTTGCATGAATATGAAA